ATTCATCAAAGAAGTTTCTTTTTGCAACAGAGATCCTTACAAAATTCCACAACTGGTCAAACATAGTGAATAAGTGACTGCCTGCTGTCCAGCCCTATGTGATATATCTGCAATGCAAACTTTACATCTAAGGCTCAGGGAACATAGTGGAAGAGGAGGCAGAAAGAATGCCAGCACCAAACGGACAAGATACTTGCTGCTAGTTAATGCATTTCAGACATGAAAGGGAAGCTGCACCCATCCATGAAATCTTCACAGTATGGTAGTCTAACAAGATCTTCATAATACAAAACCGTGAGGTGATATGTCAAGGTGAATGGGGGAAAATTTCCCAGGGTCCCATCTTAAGCTGAAGAGCTACAGGCAACCAGTGGATGCTGATGGAGGAAGAATTAGTTTTCTCCAGGAACCAGCTTTCTGAGAGGTTGTCTAATTCCAAGTGGGTAGCTCTAGACATGGGTACACAGGAGCACCACTAAATTGATTCAGTGCATTGTATACACATACATACATACATACATACATACATACATACGTACGTACGTACGTACGTAACAATAATAATCAAAGAAGAGGACAAGTAATTCAGGGGAGTGGGGAGGACATGGCAGGAGCTGGAGGGGGTGGAAATAATGCAAAGACAATACTCATGTATGAAATTCTAAAAGAAAAATACAATAAAATAAAAATGACTATCTTTGACAAATAAGCAAGAAGAAAAGGAGCTCCCTTTGAAGTCTTCCCTTCTGATGTGGGAATAATTAGGGGTGTGCAGGGGACTTTCATGTTTGGCAGGATTCCACTGCTTAAGAATAGCGTACAGAAGATGAGATAATTGAGAACCACAGAGTCATGCATTGTTCAATCACAGATGCATTATGTATGTTTCAACAAATAAAAACTCACAGCAAACTATTAGGGAAAACAATTATTAACATTTTCAGACTAAATTCTGAGTTTGCAATAATCATCAACTTGAGCACCATTATGAGTAATGTCACATGAAGGATGCCATGCTGGTACTAACACAGCCCCAATATGACTTGAAATAAGAAACGACAAATCCCAATGGCCTGGGAATGGGGGTCTGGCCAAATAAACTCTACTTATACAGTAAAGTGATATAATCATTAAATGTTAAGGTCTAAGCATATATGACAATGCCTTTAAAAGACTGACAGATTTTTTTAAAAATGGAAATTTGAAATCCTTATGCTAAGCAAAAGTAGCCAGAATAAACACACCACTTCTATGCTTATATTTACATGAAGTACCCCGAATAAGCATATGCAGCTGGAGGAACTCGTTAGTGGTTGCCAGGGAACAGGGATGGCAGGGTCGTAGTACTGGGAGAGACAGTTTCTTTTGGGGGTGATAGAAATATTTGAATAGATGTGCAACAATGTGAGTCTACCAAAACTCACTGAATTCCACCCTTTAAACTGTTAAATTTATCATAAATTTTATAAAAGAATGTGCAAGTATTGATGTATGTACATGAGTCACTATGGGAACAAGGGCATCAGTATGTTCTGATAAATGCACTACAAAGCATTTGAAGGAGTTATGTGGGGAATGAAGTTGAGGGAAACTTTTACATTTTTAGTATTGAATATTTTTTCTGGGCAAAGTACTGTATTACTTTTCCTCTATTAAAATTCATGCTGAAATGTCTACCTCTAGAAACCCAGAGGACCTAGCAATTGTTCTCTGCCCATTCCTCCTCTCCATTCCTTAAGTTTGCCATAATTTATATGGCAGAAAATTTATGTGCTTGAAATACTCACTTCATGGATTTTATTGCAGAGTTGTTCAACCACAGTTACACAAAAAGCTCCCTCCTGCTCACCTCATCCATCTGTACCCTTTTGGTACCCATTAACCTGTTCCTGTAGACTGCCCTTTCTAGAAATTCACACAAGTGAAATATGACAAGTAGCCTTTCATATTTGGATTTTTTTTTTTTACTATTTTTGAGTGTTATCTATACCGAAAAGTTACCAATGTGTCCTTTTTAAAATAACATATTAAAGTATTAGTTTTACATGATGATTGTGTAACTGGAAATTGAAATAAAAGGATTCCCATTTTAAAATTTAAAGCATAATAAATTAACGGGCTTTCTGGCTAGACTGATCTACAAGAAAAGACCAGCAAGTTCTTCAGTGCTATTGAAGACCACAAAATTGAGGGCCATAAACATGCCATTAAAGCTTGCCAGATATTTTCAGAACAATATTTTAACTTGGAAAAAAGTAATCACACTGTCTTCTCTTTCTCTACTTTTAGAACAAGAATCCAACTAGGTGGGGGAAAAAGGGGAAATTTTACAAGCAAAATTTTCAATGAATATTTCATATTTTTCTTTATTCTGTGTGCCACAAATGTTGAAAAGACTTTAATACACAATTATTCACCCTGCAAGCTTTTAGCAGATTCAGAAATAGACCAAATTTATATATGCAAGGAGGTGTAATTAGTTCAGCTCACAAAAATTTAGTATCTGATTTTTAGAACCTAATGTGCTTAAGAAAGTGCTTGTGCTTTTAAAATAGGAGAACAGTTCTGTTTTTAATTAGTCCTCATTTAAACAAATAATCACTTTAATTAATTTGCACAAACATAGGACATTGTGCTCCATCAGCAGATAATGTTCTTCATTAAATAGAGTGGGAACTTAATGCACTAGAAGTATTTCCACCTGGGATGTGAAATCTGCGCTCCCCCTTCCAGTTTTCATCTTTCAGGTATTTTTGGTGACCATTCTGAGCCATTTGTTAATAATTATATTTTTGACTAAGTACTTTGCCAACCTTTAGAAATCAATAGTTTAATAACTAAAATTTCAATTTGCCTACTGCCCAGTTATACGAAGGGTAGTAATTATTAACAAAGCAACTTACTGAAATCCAAGTAATAGAAATGCAGTACAATTCTAAGTTCAATAACTTTTATGGTATAGAAAAATGAAGTCTTCATGAGTAGCATAAAGGAAATAGTTGCCTGTAGTATGGAGGTGAAGTCAGGCTTTATTTAGACTGCTTGACATGTGTGGAGGTTAGCTAACGACAGGCCATTCTCATCTACACCTGAAAAGCACCAGGAGCCAATTCTTCCTTAGAGCATTTCCAATAAAACTTGGTATCTTCTTACTGTTACTCTTTCTCAAGCCCAATCCTAATATATTTTGGAAAGAAAAGGACTCCTATGAATTTGTATAACTATGAAAGTACTTAGGAGAAAAGTATGTGTGTTTTTCCTTGATTTTAAATGTTTCATTTCTGAAGTTTGGTGTTTAAAGCAAACATATCAGTAAACTGTTGGAGAAATTAAAATTGCTGAAAAAACCTGGAATTTATAGAAAAGGACATCATGTAGTAACTAGTAGTTCAGAGTTGGTATGACATCGCAAAAGAAGTGAGTGACCATTTGGAAAAGATAGATTTAATTTGGAGCTTTACTTGGGTATGGTTGCTCTAGGTTGTATTTAAAGGAAGTTCAGTGATACTGTGGTAAGCATGCTTCATTTGTGAGTTCAAACAGCTGTACAATGGGAGTCCCTACTTTATGAAAAGCAAACACTTGTCACACACACTCCTTTCTCCCACAGGATAAGAACAGCAATTTGTCAGTTAGTACATTAGATATGCTGTATTTGACTTGGGAGGAAAGATCTCCAGATATGGTCTCAATTTTTACCATTTTCTATGGCTAAGAGTATCCTATATAGACTCTGAACTCTACATTTTCTATCTGTATAGGGGAAGACCATATAATTTTGGTACTGAAGCTTCCTTCTAAAGAGATAATAAGTACTATAAACAAAAGTGCACAATTTTAACATATAAGGTAACTGACCTTAACTTTGGAGCATATTTGAATTTAACAATGCCCTTTGTATTAAGATTACATACTTACAAAATTATTTTGAGGGGAAGCATCAAATTATAAGAAAACTTAATTTATCAGGGGAAATTTTGTTGACAATGGGTTAAATATAACCAAATATGAGAGAATTAAATTCCTTAAGCATTGTCTATCCTGTTTATCGTACTAGTCACATATTGTTGGGCGTGGTAGCACATACCTTAGATCCCAGCACTCAGGAGGCAGAGGCAGGTAGCTCTTGGTGAGACTGAGGCCAGCCTGCTCTAAACAGTGAGTCCCAGGCCAGCTGGGGCTACAGGGAAACTGTCTCAATAAGACAAAACAAAACAGAACAAAACAAACAATAGAACAACAACAAAAAAAGGATGCATATTAACAGAAAGCATTTACATATTTGCCTTAACAAGAACTATATAGAATGAATTGAAAAATTCAGTGCTGGGCATACCTGTAATTCAAGCACTTAAAAGAGGCAGGAAAACCAGGAGTTCAAAGCAAGCCTGGGCTACGTGACAGGTTATCTCACTCACTCGTCCCCTGAAGAGCAAAAAACAGGCAAAGAAAGCAGAAAAAAGGAAAAGTATACCCAAAGAGTACAAATACTTTTCTAAAGCAATTTGCTGTTTGAAAACCTAGCTCCAAACTGATTAGTGTATATCCAGCATATAAAGAATAAAGAAAAACTTGTTTACGTGATGCTCATTTTATGCTTGAAAACTTGCTCTAAAAAAGGAACCATTAAATACATTAGTTTGGGATTTCTTTAGGCTGCAAGTCTCCTCTTTAAAAGGGAAGCATTTTCTTCTCCATCCCATGCCTTTCTTGTACCTGTTATGAAACCCTGTCCAGAAGCTGCAGGCAGTTTAACAGCCAACAATCCACAACACCAGACACAGTATTTTCCTACAGGGGTTTTGGCAGGAGAGTATAACAATACAAACCAAGTGAATTTAAAACATTGAAGTAATGTTGTCAAAGTAAATTATTTCTCATTTAGTCTTTTTCTGATTTTACACTTAGATGACTTACATTTTTGAAATTAGGTTTAAACTGGAAGTCAGAATCCAACCCAAATGAGAGCATGGTTTAATGAAATAAACTCAATAACACAGTTAATTGGGAAAAATTTAATAAGCATCAAATGCACTATACATTGATAACTGCAATACTGAAATTGTGAAATTTTAAATATTTTTCTCAAAAAAAGTTAGTGACTTTCTTTCTTCTGGAAGATGTGGAGACAGAATTAAGTATGGATGTGGTCTTTGAGATTTAGTTAACATCAGGATCTAAACAGCTGCTCACATTCCATATCTAAGGTAGACTGTAAGCTGCTTATCTCCAAATTGCAGCTGAAGTTTTATAAGATCATTTACGGGAATGTCAGACTTTTGAACTGCAAACTCAGAAAACTCTGCATTGGGATTTTTTACTTTGTTTTACTTCAGCCCACTTGAGGATATGGGTAGTTTTTCATTCCTAATTCCTTGGAAAAATATTTCTGCAGTAAGTCTTGTTTCTTCTTTACTATAACTGGGTTGTTCTTAAGAAAGATTATCAGCTTTGCGGTTGGTTTTCCAGTTAATAAAAATCTATCAAAAACATTATATGATTTGTAAGGGTTGTTTCCAACTCTTGCAGGATCAGGAAAGAAATAGCATTTCTTATCTGTATGAGCACAAGTTCTTAAAGCTAGTGGCACTGCAGGTAATTCCATACAGCTTTCAACTGTACTATAAAGATGAACAGGAGACACATTTACTTCATTGCTTCAAGTCTACTGGAACTCAGCATGAATTGTGCCGCTGTACTTTGCTGGTCCAATTTTACGAGTTTTAGGTCCTTTTTGTGAATCTGGCCCACTGATATCCACATCCCAGAAAAATTCAGTTCAAAACACGGAAATTAGGGCAAAGACTCCATACAACAAAGCACAAGGATATGCTACTAAAAGTTGCTGTCCATCCATGGCTAGGGCAGAAATGAAAATCTTGGAAGCAGAAAAACTACACCATCCAATAATCCCAGCAGTGAGAAGGATTCCCACCATTCCTCTGCAACAGGAAAAAAAAAAAGGGGGGGGGGCAAAATTAGGTACATTAGGTTATGCAAAAATACTCTATTAAAAGGCAAGGCATTTTAAAAATCATATGAAGAAACAAGACTATTTTTTCAAATGCAAAAATGTACTTGCAGAGTGAATTCAAGAATTTTGGATCATTTTATGTGGCAAACAGCTCTGTAACAGTTTATAACATTTGTAACAGTTTTGCTCTTTTAAAATACAAATTTTCCCAGCTGTGGCACTACTGGCACTTGGGCTGGAAGTGTTTGTCCAAGGGTTAGTGCTCTGAGCAGTTAGGATGCTCAGCAGCCTCACAGGCTTCCCTCTACCAACAAAAGATCAGCAACCCTGTTACCCACAGCTATGACACCAAAATCGCCTTACTCATCTCCCAATGTCCCCGGGAGGAAACATTTTCCTGGCTAAGATATACTGTTTCAGTAAAAATAACAACTACAACAAAACTTCCTATAAAATTCAAACAGACAAATAACTTTTAACAAGAGTGAAACAGTTTCTTTACTAAAACACAAACATTTTTTTGTCCAAAAGGAGATTATAAAACCATTATTTTGCCAAATGTTTAAAGAGTTGGCACGTCTCCTTTTCCTACACTTGCATTTTTTCTTATTAAAATAATTATTTTTTTTAAAATCGTGTGTGTGTGTGTGTGTGCCTGCATGCAGGTATGTGAACATGAGTGAGGTGCCTGCAGATACCAGAGGAAATCTGATCGAGTTACAGTTACAAGAGGTCTAGTGTGAGTCCTCTCTGAGACCAATATGTGCTCTTAATGGCAGTCCAGCCCTAGCATTTTAAATTTCTAAGTGAAACTTTCTATGTATAAAAAGCCTAATTATTGCTAGCGTCTAGAGCCAGCCACAGTGAGGTGCTTCAACTAGACAGAAATGGCACACTGGCCACAAGGAACGTCATCAGACGTATACACTCTTCTTTTTTAATCTAACCTAAAAAATCATTTAAAAATCACACATACTTAAAGCTACTTTCAAGTATATTTGGGAACATGCAGACATAACTTCTAAAAAAAAACGTTGCACTCTCAGTTATAAAGCTGTCAGAAAGAATACGTGTTCATTATTCATACATGTTTAACAAGCCCAATTGCTTCAAGAAATCTGATATGATTGGTTTATGAGGGGGAAAACAATTTTAACACTGACTTGAATTTTTCCATGTATTATTTAACAATCACAATTGTCAGACTATTATTGCTACGACATCAGTAAACACAAAACTAATAAAACTCTTGATCAAAGGTAAAATTGACATTGTCTGAAACATTCTGAAACTCATTACCGCTTTCATTGGTCATCACCCAAAACGCACACAGCACAGAAGCACAATGTATTTGCTTAATCAGGAATTTATCTCAAACTGAAGGTTAACTAAATCCCACCACAGAGAAATGGCTAAGTAAATCCCAAGTTTAAGATCAGTACTTACTGTAAAGAAAATATCACTGCGAAGCTGGAAAGCAGGATCATGGGAAGGAGGCAGTACCCCAGAACACTTGCCACACAACCAAATGAAACACCTGTCATACTCATTAAATTCAATAAGCAAAACATTCCTAGACATCCAATTGCACTGATCCCATACACATAGCCAAACTGGATTTTGCCAGCCTATGGGTAAAGAAAGAAAATAGGTTAAAGTGCAAGAAATAAGTCATCTGGGCCTTATTTTACCCAAAATGCTTGATGCAGAAAATATTCAATTTAAGAATATTTAAGCATCAAGATCTACAGAAGCAGGTATTCTTCACAAAGGGGGAAAAAGACAAAGCTGGTCTTTATACCTTTCTTGAGTGTAATGTATTAGTTCCTGATATATATTTTGTTGTATTTCCTAGTAGTGTTTGATGCTACTATAGAACTGAACATAAAGGGAGAAAAATCATGCTCCAATAACCGGAAATAGTGTATTTCTGAAAAGAATTTTCGCTGATTATAAAAGCAAATAAACTACAAAGGTAAGATGAAAAACCACTCTGAATGTTTGGATACTTGCTAATATCTCTTGAAAGCACCCAATTCCATCTAATGTGCAGCAAAGTAACTTATTCTCATTAGTGTGTGTGTGTGTGTGTGTGTGTGTGTGTGTGTATATATATAATTTCTTTTTTAAAAAATTGTATTTATTTTTATTTTGTATGTGTATGACTGTTTTTCCTGCATGTACGTGCAACCATGTGTGCAATGCCCACAGAGGCCAGAAGATGACATTGGATCCTCTGGAACTGGAGGTACAGATGGTTGTTAGTGGATATGTACGTGCTCAGAACCAAACTAAACTCAGGTCTCCTGTATGAACAGCCAGTGTACTTTGAGATCCTGTCTCAAAAAAAACCCCCAAGAGCAGAGAAAGTGAGATGAGCAGTAGGCAGCATGTACTCATTTCTCTCTCCCTTGGTTGAGATATTATGTCACCTAGTTGTTTCCAGTTCCTGCTGCCCTGACAGCCCCTGCAATGATGGACTACAATGAGATGAAACTAGCACAGGGTCCAAACAAGAAAATAAAAGAGAATCACTATCTCCTTAGAAAACGTGCACTGAGTAAAAAAAAATTCTCAAAAATAAGAAATTCTGATTTTTTCCCCCCTTAATAACTGGACTACTTTCAATTTTCATTTACTTTTTTGGAAATAGGTATGATCTCATCAGGTAGTGCAGGCTGGCCTGGAATTCACAATCTTCCTGCTTCAGCCTCCCAAGGGCTCAGACTACAGGTATGTTCCTATATGCCTGGCTCAATAAATTATTTTTTAAATATGTTGTCCAATACTACTGATGGGAAAGTGACCAATAGGTATAAATTCAAGCAACTCAATACTATCTAAAACATCAAAGACTTCAGGTATCAACAGTCTCTCCAAAATGTTAAAGTGTTCTTTTAATCTTACCCTGACAGGTGACTCAAAACCTTACCAGTAACAATGTGGCTCCAAAGGCAAGGCAAAAAACCATAGGTCCTGCTAAGTCTGTTTCATTCATGATGCTGCCATCTGCTACTTTTAATGGATGTAGCACAGTTAGTGTTTTTTGCCAGATGTGGTCAAAATTTATACCTAGCTCTAAGAGAAAGAGAAAATAAGGACACATAATAATATAAAAATGGTTTAAAAACTGATTCACTGTTTTATGACCATATGAACTTCAATTAATTTCCTTAAACATATTTAATCATAAAGGAGGATAAGCAAAATAAAAAATGAACTGCCATGAACACTCATTTCTGAACTGGTGCTTCCTTCTACAGAGAATATCCTGGATGTCATCTTTGGATAAGTACATGTGTAAATGCACAGAGAGAAACAGTGCTTCTCCCTCTAAATCGCTTACCACTTCATGAGGTCTACATTCACAAATTTCTCCTGCATTTTTGTTTAATATAGCATTAAGAATTTCTTTTAAGTCCATTACTCCAATGACAGACAATTAGTTGAATAGTTTTCTGTAATGGAAACTACAGGTATCAATTTTAGGATTTGTGATATTTAATTTCCCTGAATCTATGCTGGAACAGGAGACAAAATTAAATGGCAATGTAATAGGACATAGCAGTATTCAATGAAGTACTAATAATATTTTAGTGAGGCCTCAATGCCAAGCTACATGATGGTGCTCTGAAAATATCTAACTTCTTCTTTGATGTTGGAAAAGGGTATGGATAGGACGAAACAGACACATCTGTCATCTCAGATGCATAGTGAAAGAACATATGGACAAGTAATAGTAAGGGATTCTTTACCTGGAGCTTCAAGAATAATCAGGGGTTCCATAAAATTATATATAATTATGGCTCTATGCATATAGATTCGGATTTCTGGAATACAATTTGCAAACCACGTTTTCTAAGTAATGTCAACAGTTATGTGAGTTTCCATGTAGAATTATGAATATTATGCTGCTTTCTTTCAGTTATTCCACTAGAAGAATTTACTTAATAATTTGAAATAAAAGTCAATGATCATAATGACATATTTTATTATCACCTTTTCAAAGACATAGTCCTTTATGGTCCAATGTCATTTCATATAAGCTCCAGCCTAAATAAGATATTTATTAAACTATGTTTTCTATGAGATTATTTTATTATTTTTAAAAATATTTTATTTATCATTTTTATTGTATGTGTATGCATGTATTGCCTGCATGTAGGTAAGTGCACCCGTGTCTTGCAATGCCCGCGGAGGACAGAAAAGGTTGTCAGATCCCCTGGGACTGGAGTTACGGACAGTTGTTAGATGCCATGTGGGTGCTGGGATTTGAACCTGGGTCTTCTGCAAGAACAGTCAGTGTTCTTAACTGCTGACAGTCAGTATTCTTAACTGCTGAGCCATCTCTCCAGCCCCAAGATTGTTATTTTAAAAGAAAGGACAATATCTGCAAATTGGGATTTTTTTCACTTAGCAGCTGGATACTACAAAGTACAGGCTGAGTGTGACTAATCTCAAAATCCAAAGTCTGAAATGCTCTGAAATTCAAAACTTTTGAACACCAACATATTATTTAAAATGTTTTAAGCCAGGTGTGGTGGCCCACACTTATAATTCCAGCACTTGTAAGGCTGAGGTAGGACTATTGCGTGTTTGAGGGCAGTCTGGGCTAAACAGCAAGACACTTATCTTAAATTAAATAAATAAAGCTTTGGGTTTTGTAGCATTTCAGATTTCAGGTTTTCAGAATAAAGATGTTGAACCACTGAAGTCTATGAAAATATTCCAAAATTCAGATAACTTCAAAATCTAAAACAATTGTAACCTCACGTGTTTCAGGCAGAGCGTGTCCAAAATGTACTATTGTATCCTACCTTCTAGTAGAGGTGGCTCCTCCTCAAAGCTGTTTCCAAAGAACGGCTGAGGTGGAGCTGCAGCATAGGACTGAGTTGGCTGGTAAATCTGCCCAGTGTACGGCTGCCGTGGCTGCATCATGTCTGCAGGGACAAATCGTCCTTGCTGCGAGTAGTCATAGCCAGCATATTGCCTATAAACCAAAGTAAGCTGTAGTACTCAGTATTTCAACCACCTGAGAGTTGATATCCCTAAATTCTTAATTTTTTACTTGACAGCTCTTAGTTTGCTTTCTGTTGCTGTGATAAAACACTGACCAAAACCAGGTTAGGGAAGAAAGGGTTTATTTGCCTTACACTTCCATACCATAGTCTACCACAAAGGAATGTAGGGGCAGGAACCTGGAGGCAGGAGCTGTAGCAGAGACCATGGAAGAACACTGCTTGCCAGGTTGCATCCCCTGGCTTTCTCAGTTACCTTTTTTTATACAACCCAGGCCTACCTGCCTAGGAATGGCACTGCTCACAGTGGGCTGGGCCCTCGCACGTTAATTAGCAATCAAGAAAATGCCTTGCAGACATGGCCAAGACCAATCTGATAGAGAAAATTCCTTCTTCCTAAGTATTTCTAGTTTGTCTCAAGTTGACAAAAACCAACCAGCGTAACAGTCAAAGAATTATCAGTCATGTAATTCTTAGATATGCACTATTCTATATCTATCATATAAAGGGTGGTTGAAATCATTACTAAGATTTTCAAGGTGAAAATGTGAAAAGCATCTGTTGTTACAGAGAATCTTCCTGTTGACATATTTACATGTGTAGCATTTAAACAGTTAAGCAACCACACTTAAAAATCAGGAGACCAACAAATAAAAATTAAGTCTTGACTATTTCTTCCCATGTTGGTAGCACATAATAATACAGTATTTTATGAAATAAATGTATGCTACAGATGATAAATAAAAGCTTAGGGTGGCAGGCTTTATGCTACATGTTACATAAGTTTCGTACTGAAATTTGGATAACTATGGAGTCCTAATTCTTCCTTACTCTTCACAGTATGGTATATTTTACAAGTGAGGAAACCTCTTTAGCACTCTTAAACTCTTTTAAGAAACATCAATTTCAAACCACAGTGTGGAAAGAAAAAAAAACAAACAAGCTTATTCTGAATATAACAAAACATTATTTGTAGACCTTGTATTTTAATGGTGCTTTAATTTTTTTTCAAAGTGACTGCATACTTCCTGTCTTGTTAGATTTACAGTATAGCAAATTCTGCCTTTATAGGAAGAATGCATTCCATGGCTACTTTAGTGACAAAGAGGGAATGGAAATGTATTGAAACCCTATCTTTAAATACCCATTTTACCATAGTCTAGGAAAATATCACTTGTGTATCAGTGGGATAATCTAGTTATATAGTAATAAACACGAAATTAAAATACAAAGTCTAATGATATCCATTAAGATTTTAAAAATAAAATAATTTTTAAAGTAATTTAACATGTCAAATAAAAAAAAATCAAAGCTATGGTGAATATTCAGTTACACATAGTCCTTTTAGAGACTTTAATGTGATTTTTAAGAATTACTGCACTAGCAAAATCCATGCTTACATAATATGTTTTTTGCTATTCAATACAGAACTCATTGTTATTATTGCAATTGCAAAAATAAAAATAGCTGTAAGCAAATATGTGATCTGTACATAGAATAAATTATCATGTACCTGCTAAAAAGACTTCAGTTTTATGTATATGTAAGGAAAAAAAATCAAGAAATACTCAGTAGGTTGGGGCTGGAGAGATGGCTCAGTGGTTAAGAGCACTGGCTGTTCTTGCAAAGGACCTAGGTTCAATTCCCAGCACCCACATGTCAGCTAACAACTATCCATAACTCCAGTTTCAGAGGATTCAATATCCTCTTCTACCCTCCATGTGCACAGCAGGACATGGGCATACTTACATACATACAGGCATAACACTCAAACACATAAAATACAAATAAAAGTTTTTAAAAAAGAAATTTTGGAGAAAAGGAATAATGTTCAAAATACCATATATTATATGCTTTTAAGAAAAACACATGCATTCAAACACACTTTTTCATCGCTTAGCATAGCTCTGGAGAATACACAAGAAACTTCAAAACCTGGTTGGTGCTAGGTAAAGGAACCTGGAAACAGTGACACAGAGGACCGAGTTTTCATACAAACTTTTGTACCTTTATACATGCTGGGCAACATTATTTAATGAAATTAATTAATACTCTAATACTAACTTATTGGCAAGATATGCCCACTAGTGGAATAGAGGCATGAAAGTTATGGGGGTAACCACTGGCTTTCTGATTGGTATGAGGCCTGCTCCACAGGAAGGACTTCATGCTTGGTCCTGTAAACCTGGTCAAAAGCCCTAATGTAAGATCATAAGCTGTACTGCTGATATTGTGCTAAATGGTCATGCTGCAAACTGCATTCTAAATATGTTCATATTCACAAATCAACTCTGGTCAGAGAAACTTATTTTTGCAGTGGATCGTGGTTAATGCAGGGACTCATTGCTGGTCAAACTGCCAAGTATAAATAACTGGCTGCTCAACTATGGGTGGGTTATCTGTTTCAACCTCCACCATTCAAGGCTCAGAGAACTTTGCAGAAGGGATAGAAAGAAGGGATAGATGAATGTAAGAGTTAGGAGATAGTGAGGACAGCTGTTAAATGCTGATTTCTAGACATGACATGCTGTCTCACATATCGACACACACACAGTAGCTGTGGTTACCTCAACAAGCCTGCACAAGACCAAGTAGTCAAAAATTCCAGCATGGAGGGGGAAGAGGCCACGAGGCCCCTGTAGGAACTATTGGTTGATGGCTGCTGAGGGAGAGTCATACTCTTTTGGGGGATGTGGCCACTGGTGGGTTGCTCATGCCCCAGTGGATGGTCATACACCTGTAACGGGGCACCAATAACTGGACTTAGGGGGGGTTACTACAAGGAGTTGGAGGGAGGCAGCATTGAGTGAACATGATCAAAATACACTGTGTAAGTGTAGGACACTTTCAAAGAATAAAAAAAATAATTCTAATTGGCTAATTCTAAAACAAGCTATGAAATATGTAAGTATATGTAACTACTGAAATGCCAAAGACACCCTTTTGAAGTTACTATGTAGAAAGCACTATTTCATGTTTAATGCAAACTGTCTCATATTCTTACTACAACCCTACAAAATAGGATATTACTGTCTTTTTCACTATACAAATGAAATTTAGGTTAAAATAATTTGCCTATAATGGTGGCTGGGTTGACTCCAATTGCCAACCCATAATACACTAATAAAATCCTCCTTTCCATAGACTGTTGCAAAATGATCTGTATATATGCATTTTCCCAGATTTTCTGGTATGCATATATGCTGATTTCTTCTTTACGTACACACCCATTCACACAAGAACCCCAACCCTCAGCAGGATCAGCGGGCTGAGCTAGGATAACAATTCTCCCTTCCTGATTTCACGAAAATGCTCATGTAGAGGTTTCCACAAGATGTTTAAACAGATTATATTTTATTCATAGGATGGAGAAGAAGGCAGAAAATGGAGGGAGTGAGGGATATAACAGAAAACCAGAAACTAGTATAGTTGCAGTTATAAAACTCTTTGGTCCACTTTATATTCTTAAAATCTACTGAAAATCCCAAAGTAGTTTATGCAAGTTATTAACTATCAGTATTTGCCATAAAAGAAATTAAATGTTTAAAATATCTATTACATCATTGAAAGCAACATTATACTTAATTTTAGCATAAAGTTTTTATGACAAAACTATAAGAAAATTACTAAGAAAATCACATTATATAAGCTAGATTCTGTTCATGTGCTTCTGCATTCAAGCTGTTAGGATATATTATTTTAGCTGAAGCAGTTAAAGACATGATTGTAAAATTGAGTTATTATAATATCCTTTCATATTATTTTATTTTTTGATGCTACATTTCAACTCCAAACAAGGGGTAGTTTGTAAAAATTCAATCTGTATGGCTGGAGAGATGGCTCAGCGGTTAAGAACACTGGTTGTTCTTGCAGAAACCCGGGTTCAAATCCCAGCACCCACATCGCAGCTAACAACTGTCCATAACTCCAGTCCCAGGGGATCCGACAGCTTCTTCTGTCCTCTGTGGCCATTGCACGACATGGGTGCACTTACCTACATGCAGGCAATACAAGCATACACATAATAAAAATAAAAAAATATTTAAAAAATTCAATCTGCAACACAGAACTTGAAGCAGCATCAATACTTTTCATGCCTTAGTGACATTAAAATCTGCTTATATTTCTTGCACTTTGAATGGATCCATTTACCCACATATAGTTTTATGGCATTATTTGTCTGTCACTTAAGAAAACTGTTTATATAATCTTTCAAAATTTAATAAATTTGATAAATTTAATTTCAAATATTAGAAAATCACATTTGTTCATATCCCTAATCTCACTAGGAAAAAATGTTTAATTGCTAGGAAACTAGTAATTCCATGATGATAAATACAGGTTTAACCAAAATCCTTGGTTTTGCCTGAAAATTTGAAATTGACTATTAGAGACAAATGCCATGAGTTGTTTTCCTTGAAATGACAGGTTTACTTATTGTTGAAAAAGTATCTGCCAAATACTCATGCCTGACTAACTGTAGTTTGTAGGTTATTTCAAATAAAAACGGTCTCCATGAAAAACCAAATGGTTCAGTTTCCAACGTAGCAGCACATGTATCTGCTTAGAGAGACTGTATTTTCAGTATCCAAGAAGTGTTTTGCGACTGTTTCCCACTTTGTCACACCGAATATTAAAGAAATATGTACTAAATAGTCAAGAGTTAACAAAAAATTATGTTTCTTACTCCTCCATTAATGGAATCTTTGGATGAAAATGGTTTATTACTTTCTCCCAATGATGACAAATACACTGCTAGTTCCTAAATTCACACTCAGGTACTATCAGTTTTACCAAACATCTTTGCAACATAAGTACAAATGTTAACACACTTAAAAGGGCACAGAATACCTTGGTATTGTTACAAAAACTATTTTTGAACTTAAGAGGATCCCTGAAAAATCATAAGAATCCTATAAAGCCTACAGCACGCAGTATCACTGATTAGGATCTATGTTTCACATAAAGGAGAGAGATACTGCAACAAGACCATTTCAAAGGTAGAATAATCATTCTATCTCTAAGATACAAGTGAAAAAGACAATACCACTGAACTTTATTTCCCTTTCCTGGCAGGACCTGTGCAGAAAAACCTGAAGACTCACTCTTGGTTGTAAACCAAACTGTGTTATAGCATACATGATTTTTACACCAACACTTTCATAGTGGGCAAAGTAGAGTGGTCCATCCTAAATCAATCAGCACTTTTTATCACAATAAAGACAAGCCTTGTAACACACGTTGTCTTACTATTGTTTACTTTAATGTACATAAAATCCGCTGGGGTTCCATAAAGATATTATCAGGTAAGTCAAAGGGAGAATTGTATCTGCTCTCAGTATCTTAAAAAACAAGCATGGATATTGCTAAATATTTTAGAAGCATATCTAGAAAATACTGTGGATCTATAAAATATGGTAACGTGAAGTATCAGGAAGAGGAAACCTCAAAGGCAAATTTAGATAAGGCTAGTAAGTCAAACAGGTAGACAAGCCAGGTATTCAACTATCTGAATCATGATTTTTCGCTAACAGAGCTAAAAGTTATCAGCTGATTTTTGTTAATGAGTTAGCAAAGCAAACAAAATACTAATTAGTAAGCTTAGATGGGCATTTAAAATATAATTAGGTGACAGATGTACTTTAGGTACATACAAAAGCAAACAAATCCAATTTTTAATGAAACTTAGATACACACATTATTATTTATTATTATGTACTGCTAATACATCATGCTTTTTGTTTTCTCAAGTTTAAGTTATAAACCATTTTGCTGGCTGGCAGTTCTGGTTATTGAAGTATCTCAAATAAAACATGTTCACTAGTACTGAAGGAAGGCTTATTAGTATATGATTTAGTTAAGGGTGAAAATTGTGATACTACTCAGCAACAGAGTATCCACACAACTACTGTGTGCAATACAGAAGAGCAAAATTAGATGACTGTAAAGTATAATGAGAGGACAAGTCACATGCTTAAGTTACACAAACCTGGTCAGGATAGAACATCAGAAAGAGAGCTATCTGGGAAATTGCAGTCTAAAGATAATTTGATTAAAAGCAGGCTGCCATAGAGTATCAAGCTCTTCAAACTCCAGCTGCTTTAGGGATTTTCCAGATGGATCCTGACCACTTACATTTACTTGCTCTCAAGTACACACAGTACTCATTAAAAATATGTATTTTGATAAGTATATTATTTTAAAGGAAATCTCTCAGTATGATTTTTCTCATTCTGTCCAATAAATTGATCAAAAGAGGTAAATTCTCACCCATATATAAGTGAAAACTAAACAGAATAACAGAAAAACCAATTCATAGAGGTTATTTTTACTTTTATTCAACAAGTTAAGTGAGAAGGAATATACATGCCTCAAACTAAGCAGATTCAAATGATCAAAGCGTGAATTTCCTTCAAAACCAACTTTGGAACTTTCATTCATATATATTAATATAAACACATTCTACTACTGCATGTTTCTCAGATTGAGGAGATTCATAACTTTCCTTTGCTCTCATCCCAAGAGTCTTCATGAGATCTGAATTCAATACAACAGATAATGCGTGAACTATATGAAGTTATCTGCATATTTATATGGGTATTGAGTATATGCATGCATTTCTGGAACACAGGCCCATCGTGTCTATAACATTATCAAAGGGGTCCAAGACCATCTAAAAAAGTGTAAGCACAGGACACTTCATTCAACTAGACATCAGCAAGATTTATCTCTAGGTTCTAAGAGACTAAAGATATGATGTCCTAGAAGAGAATGGTTGAACGCTTTTGACTGACATACCCCAAAACCAGCTATTACAGAAAGATTATGTTGTTTTTAACAGTTCAGAGCCCAAAGGCTCTAAACTCTCTTCTTCAACCTACAACGGGTAACTTCTGTGACACTGACCATAATTCTTCCATATGAGGAATAATAAAAATGATTATCAATTGCCATATGAAAATGACCTGATAGTGGGGAGCTTACATTTTTAAACTGTGTTGCTAAGGTGAACATTCTTTGATGAAGTTTGAAAGTTGGACTGACTTAACTACCAAATAAGCTATGAAAAGATAACCAAACTTTAAATAGGATAATCCCTTCAAACTCAAAGTGTCACATCTCTCTAGACCAAGAAAAATGCCCCCCCACATTTTTTTAAGAAAAAAAAATCACATTCCTGTAGAGGAACATATTCATACATTCATTTTTAGGCAAAACCAAGTATTCTAAATACATGGTTCCTTAAAATACAGACTGAATGACTTGTCAAAGTTGAAAAGTTACTTGCTGTAGGGTCCTCCACTTCCTCCATAATCATAGGATTGCTGAGATTGGTCATCGATGCTGTAGCTTGTCTGGTAGAAACCCGAGTTTAAGTTATCAAAGCCTGACATTGCAAATGATCTGCAACAGAAGAGAGATGGCAAACAGCTTTACAACCGAGATCCTACTTAGCCTGTTTGTGGTCCTCTGCTGAAGCAAATACCCTCAGAGGGCAGAAAATCCTTCTGAGGGCTCAGCACCTGAGGCTGGTCCGGGAGGGGGAATGACGGAGGGAGGTCCCACAAGACCCTGAGACCTCAGGATGCTGCTAGGCTGCGGTCGGGCGAGGACATGGGACGAGTGGCTTCCAAGCGACCTAGAACTTTAGTAGCCCGGTGACTGCCCACCTGGGGACAGGGCTTCACAGCAGGCAACACGGTGGCTCCTTTCAAGAGCCGCTCGAGGCCTGTCAGGGAACTGCAGGACCCGTACAGGGTCGCGCCTGAGCGGTAGGGGCCGCGTCCGCACAGGGTCTGGAAAGGGAGCGAGGGTCTGGGCTGAAAGACCACCGCACCGCACCGCGCCGGAAGGCAGCGGGCAGAGCCGAAGGCGTGTCACGGTCTGGGACACTCACCGGACACGCAGGCAACAGAAACGGCGGAGGCGGCGGCGGCTCCGGGGGCCCCAAATAACGCCCGAAACTCAGTTCCAGTCCTTCACCAGCTCCGTTGCTACGTGTCACAGGCCAAAGAACTGCTTCCGGGTCACGCCCGCCTGCGCAGGCGTGTTAGTAGGCTATGCCCGGTCCTGTTTCGTTGGTCATGAGGTGTGTTGCGCCTGGGGGCGGGATTTACAACGGCGTTCTGGTGACAACTGGTTCTGTGACTGGCCAATGGGGAAGAGGGAAAGTGCTTCCGGAGGGGTTTGGCGGAGGCGGGAAGGCGCAGGCGCAGTAGTGACTCCGCGCCCTGAGGGAAATGGAAGGGCTGCGGTGAACGCGACCGAGGTGCTTTGTGGGCCCCATACTGCAGAACCTGGATTTCTTTAGACTCACAGATTCAGGCGCCGCTCTAAGGACTTTACATCTATTACAAACATATATATGATATGTTTATAAAACCTAATGACTTTTTTGTGGGACTAAGTTCATTCTTTTAGCTATGGAGATACTGTGATGAGTATGTCGTCTAAGAGGAGGGGAAATTTAAAAAATCCATGTAAAATTGTTATTCTTAATGCCTCATGGCATTTTGAAAGGTGTAATGAAAAGCCAGTTTGAGAGGGTGTTGAAAATAGATGAATGGTTAACACGAAAAGGCTGGGTATAAAGGCAGAGGATGAAGAACTTGACTGTCTGGGGTAGAGAATGCCTTGTGGGAAGCCTGAGGTGAGGACAAACCAGGTTTGAGAACCTCTGCACTATTGATACTTTTAGTCCAGATAATTCTTTGAACGGGTACTATGAGATTTCTGTTCCATTGATGAATTTCTGAAATTGCTCAACGAACTGTTTAGTTTACCAGTCACTTCAGCGTTTATTGATGTAGATAACAACTGTATAATTTTAAGTACAATGATGATATAGTATGCTTTGCCGTAGAGGTGATCCGTTACCATTTTATGCCTGTTTTAATTCTCAAAATGTGTTTACTAATAGTATACCTTTTAAACTCAGTATCTCAGTTTGGTTGATGAGGTAGGTGTCCATACCCTTAAAGCTACATAGTGCATGAAACTGAGTTTCTAGTTACCAACAATATACAACAGTCCATCTCTTCAGTGATCCTAGGGCTGAAAAAAGATTTCTGTTCTCTTCCTTGAGTCCTTTGGTGTTCCTGTTGGTTCCTATCTGAAAGAGAATTTGATCTCAAATTTGAATGAAATATGTAATATGAAAATTAAACCTTGCCTGGTTATGATCGAATTGTTGGGTATAAATGTTCAAATTCTGCTTCCATGAAAATATTTGACATATTTAGCTGGTTGTGGTGGTGCACACCTTTAATCCCAGCACTCGGGAGGCAGAGGCAAGCGGATCTCTGAGTTCAAGGCCAGCCTGGTCTACATAGTTCCAGGACAGCTGGAGCTATAGGGAGACCCTATCTCAAAAAGACCAAAAAATAATAAATAAATAAATAAATTTCCCTTTCCAATTCCTGCCCCAGCTGGGAAGCCAAAAGAGCAAACAAACAAAACAAAACAAAACAAAACAAAAACCTGAGTTCCCTCATACCTTTCATATTATTTGTTTGGCTTTGAAAGTAGCCCAAGTAGCCTTCAGAAGCCCGTTGGGGATTTTAAGGCCATCAGTTAATTTCATAGCCATGTAGGTTTTCTTTAGGAAATTTTTGTGATGTTACCTCCCCAATTTGGAGCAGACACCACCTGGAGTATTTGGTAAATCTGTTTACCTCTGCTCAAGTCAATAAGATAGCTTTTCTTAGGCATGGAAAACTTCAAACAGGTAAAAATGAGGAAAAATGAAATGAGATGGACCTCTCCTGTCTGAAGAACTAATGTGTCAATCAACAAGCTTGTAATAAAAAAATTCTAATCATGAGTAACATTTTAATTAATTTGACAGTCAGTCACATTAGTTAGATATGAACTGAACACTTACATACTTTAAAAAATAAAAACTAAGGAACTTCATTTACTTAGAATGGCAGTGAAATTGTATTTTAAAGTTGTTTTCTCTCTACCCTATTTAAAGTTAATTCTCTCATGGGATACTGTGCCAGAAAATTATTATTTGAACCTAAGCTTTTCCCTATCTTCGGTGATGTCCATCAGCATATCTTGGAGATTTGGTAGCTGTGCCTACATTGTGCCAAATTCTACAATGAAGTCTGGTAATAACAATTTGTATAATCACAAATTTTCCCTTCTCTCCATGTATTAACCACAAAACCTCATATCCCAAGTATAACAGTAGTAACTCCACCAAATCATCCTTTATCTCTTGAAAAAGTTTCCTCATTCAGATTCTGTGGGTTTTGTTCTGTTGTTGTTTCTTAGACAGGGTCTCTTGTAACTCAGGCTGTTCTTTCACTCTTGCCTCAACCTCCCAAGTGCTGGGATGGGAGGGGTGTGGCACAGCTCCTGACTTGAGTGTCCTATTTTTGAGATGTCACTAAAAATTATGCTTCTGTTACTTTGTTTCACTTCGAACAATATTTTGGAAAAGCAGATTTTCCTGTGGTGATGATAAATACTTTCAGATAGAACTGGTTTTTAAAAAATACTTTATTATTTCTTTTATTTTTTATGTGTATATGTATATTGCCTGCATGTAGGTAAGTGCACCCGCGTCCTGCAATGCCTGCGGAGGACAGAAGAGGCTGTCAGATCCCTTGGGACTGGAGTTTCGGACAGTTGTTAGCTGTGATGTGGGTGCTGGGATTCGAACCCGGGTCTTCTGCCAAACAACCAGTGTTCTTAACTGCTGAACCATCTCTCCAGCCCCTGTACAGAACTGGTTTTTAAAAGGCAAAGAAATTTAATTCTATTCTAATCACTATTCTTGGGTTTTTATTCAATACTGCAATATGTGTTGGTGAAGTATGACATAGCACTTAAAATCTGTATTTTCATTGTAAAGATCATAAGTTATTAAATAAAAAAAGCATTTCTAGTATTTGGTGAATAATTTTGTTTAGAATAAGTTTTAGCAATGACACTGAAAATTCCTTATTCCCAATAAGTTTGAACAGAAGAGTATGTAATATATAAAACAATATCAGAAAACTGCAACTGATCTCTAGTGAGCCACTGGTGCCGCAGGAAGAAGTGAAGCATTTGAACCCCACAACAGCTAGCTCCTTTGTGTATGGACTTTGCCGGCATTTCAGTTTTTAGGTGAGATGGGTACTATATAACTTCTGTATGGCACATCAGAAACCTGAACATCAGGGCAGGCCAAATGTCAGGCTAAGAAGTAATCAGCCAGAGATGTGAATGTCTGGTCATTGAGACATTTTGCTAAACAGGCTGGTGTTACAAAATATGATTTTGGTAAAGGACAATTAGTATACAACTTGGTCTGATGTATGTGTGTGTATGTCTATAAAATATATATAAGCTAAAATGCTATTAAACATTTGAGCGTTTCACCTACACTCTGTATATATGCTAGTGAGTAAAATACTTTTGCAGTATTTTCTTTTGGCAAATGATGAATCACTTTATTTTTTTAAGTTTATTTCATATTAGTCATGTATTTTAATTAATATTATATTAGTGGTTAAGGATGCAGGTTCCAGAACCAGATTGTATGGATTGACATTCTTGACCACTTATGATCCATGGATCTTCAGTAACTTAAACTCTTTAAAGCTCATTTTTCTCAACTGTGAAAGCAAGGAAATAATCCTCATCCGTGATTGGTAGAAGGATTGCGTGAAATCATGCGTATCAATATCAATATCTAAATACTAAATAAATGCTTGGTGTTATTATTGCTTTAATATAATATAGCTATAGAAGCAATGTGATTTTACCAGGACCCAAACTTGACTTTAAAAAACTTATAAGGATTGGTTTGAATAAAGTTCCTTTTAGATAAGTTATAGTCTCTGTTCTTTGTCCTAGAGATTCTATATTTTATAATTTGCTTCTTGTACTATAGAGTGCATTAAAACACCTTTCTTCATTATCTGTCAGATATTTACCAAAATTGCTTTGTCTGCATTGTAATTCTCAGGGTTACAGATATTTTAATATCAAACTACTTTTTAAAAAACAACTTGTAAGTTAAAACAATTATACTTGAAAATATGGAGCACTATTTATATTTAATATTCTTAATTTGTCGATGATTTTGAACACTAAAAATGTTTTAATCTTCCTGCCTTATGTATCTTTTTTTCTTAATTTACTAGGATAAAATTAATAAAATAAATTATGTTGTAGAAAAATACTTATTTTCAGAGAAAAAAAAATGACAGCATCCCAGTCAAGCAAACCAGTTACCATAATTTTAAAACAGGTTTCTTAAAATCATGGGTTTAAAAAAAAAATCATACCAGATTTTATTAAACTCAATGAGAGGGTAGCTGGAAAATTACTTTAAGTATATTATACTTGGGTTTCCTTGAAGCATTGCATTTTAGTTATTTTCCTGTTGTATTTTTATTGCCCTCAATAACAGACCCTTTATTCTACTACTGCTTATCATTACAGTTTAACTATTTGCTAATATAAAGAATATCATATCCTTTCCTAATCTCCTGCTGCTCCTTTCCTTTCTTTCCTTCCTTTCAGTACAGTGATTCAGTATGTAACCCAGGCTGTCCTACAACTCACTACAAAGCCAAAGCTGGTCTTGAACTCCTGATCCACCTACCACAGCTCTGAGTGCTGGAATTACAGGTATGCATCACCATGCCTGGCTTATGTTTTTATCCATGTTTTAATTGTATATCTTGTCTTTTAGAGTACACTTGACCAAACCACAGATGTTGCTTTTACATGAATATCTTTATCATAACTTTGCCTTACTAGAGTAAAAAAAGATAACTAGGATGATACAGGTGGATATTGTGGGACAGCATCACAGCTTGGTGCCCTTATCTACTGAACATACATTCTTTACTTTTTTTTTATTGTTGGACAATTATATACATTGTATCTTGATAATATCCTTCCAGACCCATCATCTCTTCTCTACCCATCCAACTTTGTATCATTGAAAAAAAAAGCCCGTGAAGTCCAATTTGTGCTGCTCATGTCCTTCTGGGTGTGGAGTCATCCATTGAAAATGGTTGGCTTACTGGTAACCACACTCTTAAAAC